AGATGGTGTGTTCTACTCCATATATTCATGTTACTAAAATTCTTCTTAGATGGCCTAAGTATTAATAAAAATATAAAGTTTTGTTATTTACTTCATTCTGTTTCTGTGCTGTTCCATTCCTAAGACATATTGTCAATTGTGCCTAACATCTTAAGAAAGACAGTTGCAATTTCTTTCACAATTAGGCACAATTGCAGTAACATGTTACCATTTCCTTTGTTAGGAAAATCATTTGTCCCAGACTCTTCTGTTGTAAGTCTGCAGACTGTTGTGCATTTCAGAATACTTGTGCACTTGATTACTTGTACATCTCCATGTAGTCATGTGTGCAATAACCATTAGATCATTCACAGATTACTTCTGGTATATAGTGCATAATAAACCGTATACATAATACAATTATTTTTAAGAGGAAAATGCCTCTTTTTGTGCCATCTGAAGTAACACACACTCTCAATTGTCTGTAGGTGTAACAGCTGAAAATCTGTACTCCAAGAGTTAAGTCAGCATGAAAGAATTCATTTCCACTTTAATGACCTAGCCTTGCTGGGTTAGGACGATGGGGAACATGCTTCTGACTTGCACTCCTATTGCCAATTAACACCTCCTATAACAGGTTGTCTCAGCTAGTCATTGAGGCAGAGGCAGTAGAAGTAGTTTACATGCATCTTGTTTTTCACACTAGTTGTTTAATACTCACAAAATTAAGTATTAAAAGGTTCCTATTTTTATTTTATTGGGTAAGAATAAACATGACAGTGTTGGATAGTTGTACATTTGCTTATGTCTGTTTTGTTGTGTTTATATTTTAAAGGGGTTTTAACTAAAAAGAACGGATGGAAATAATATTGGATCTAGCCATCTAATAATTTAGTTACAGAGGTCTCCTTTATAATGACATTTTTAAGAAGTGGACCACTTTTTCCACATTTAAAAACATTTTTTTTAAAAAAAATGTAGCATGGTTAAATGGGGAAGACTATTCAGTAGGAGTTTTAAGTGATTTTCTAGGTCTGAGGTTCTTTTTGTAGTTGTGGCTTTATTTATTTTCCATCATTTTCATTTAAAGAAATGTATGGTGATGTAAAGGGCAGTGCTCTAAAATGACACTTTGATTCATGATAAATCAGCAGGTATTCTAATAACATAATAAAACTGGCTAAATAATTGATACCAGTTCACACTAAGAGAAAGGTGGAGTAATATACCTAAAAGTGTTAACAAATTTGCTAAAAGGCCTGAGTAGATAACACTTTAAGGCGTTAGTTTTATGCTGTTAGAATGGCAAATGCCTTTTTTAACACTTAGTCAACAAGGGCTGCCCAAGGAAAAGTCACAGCTTTTATAGTTGGATTATATTTGAATGCTCATGAAGAAAAGCTCATTTTAACCTCACTGGATTGATTGTCTGATCTTGCTTCTATTAGATTTTTTTTTTTAGAAACATTGCATATGTATTTTAAAATGCAAAAATGTTTTTAATTGTGAAAAACTACCTTAAATTCTGCATTAGCTAATAAGGAATGGCTAAAAGAAATGATTGATGCAGCTTATAACTGATGCGATTGCCCTGCAGGCAGGTCAGTTCACTGTCTAACACTTGGTAGACAGTTTAGTCAGAAAGAAGCATCTGTTTCTTTTCTTAAAAAGTATAATCAGGAATGATTTTCCTCACTTGTTTTGTATGCACTGGATACAAAAGAACTTTTAAAAGCCATAAAGTGCTATTTTATTTTTGTGGCTTTAGTTGTAAGTAAACGATCAAATTTAAAGGCTTGCTTCGGTTTTAGTCTTTGGTGATGATGTTAGCACATTGATTCTCTGGGGATTCTGATGCATCTGGTATATCAGCGAAAAGTATATTTACTTTTCATCACCTTTGTAGATCACTGGTTGGAATGGAAAATGACAGGCAGATGTGGTTTGATGTATAATCTGACAATTTAATATACAAGCACTGTGCATCTTCATTAATGTTGCCCAGTGGTAAATGGGAAGGGAAGGTAGGGGAGAAAACACGAGAACCTTCTACAGCTTGTGGTGTACAGATGTGCCGTCTTGTATATCTGTGAGCTTATACATAGGTACAGAAGAGTGTAAAATAATTCATCATTCTGTGGAATTAAGGGTGTCCAATGTATCTTGCTATCTACAAACCGTAGCGTTCTTTATTGTAATTTGGTAGATCAGTATCTGTGTGTTTCTTCTAGTCCCTTAAAATAATTTGCTGTAAATTACTGTAGTAATTATTACAAAAGTAAAAATTATTTACTTTTAACTGTAAACAGTTTACATGACTGAAGATTTTAAATACAGTTTTGTTTAAATAGATATCCAAAATTTTGCTTCAGAACAGTACCATAATGAATCAGATTTCTGTTGTTGCTCTGAAAGTATTCACTCTGAAATAGTAATATTCAGAAAAAAGTGTACCTATGATAGGGGTAGCAATTATGCAGTCTTATACAATACAGCATATTTTCAAATGAATATGCAAATAGGCTGTATGGCTGAATTGGCACATGTAAGACTACTTAAAGAAAGCAAGCCTAGGGTAAAAGAATGGATTCTCAGTTGTATCTGAGATACATACACCAGTGGAATGGCAACATCCAGTGGAATTGATTCATTTGCCATTATTACATCCTGAAGATCTATTCTAATGATTGAGGAACCCTCAAGATTAAGCACTATAAATAGAATGAGAAGTCCTGTTGACCAAATAGTGTTGACTTATGTCAAATGAAACTATCTAGTTTTTCCTTGTTAATCATAATATTTGGCATAGGATTTTAAATCCACTAGTTGAATACAGTATATGGTGTACAGCATGTTAGGGAAATTTGGAAGATAGAAGAGGGAATACCATATAGTTGTATACTAACAACTTGTGGTTAAATTAAGAGTCTCTGTTGACATCAGTGAGGGCAAAGCACTAATATTTAAAAACCCATAGGGAAAATGGTCTTTTTTTGCTTAGGCAAATACACAAAATAACATAATAGTTCAGAAACTGGTATTAGCATGGGGTTATCTGTAACCTGCTAGCAGAATGAAATATTAAAAGTTGCATTCTATTCTTAGTATTATTGAAAATAGGAATAAAAGGACCAATTCTGTGACAAATCCAGATTATTTAATTGTAATACTGGTTTTTTCAGACATTAATTGAAAATGATGATTGTGTATAAAAGGAGGAAATAGAATTCAGTGTTCAGAGTTCTGAGCAGTAATGTGGAAAGATCAAAATCGCTGAAACTTTGTTAGCAAATTTTCTGCTAATTTTACATTTTATAAAATTTTATATTTTCTAATATAGTGCTTTCTTATAAAACATGCTTAATAGTTTTAAATATTACCTGTGCTCCCTATTAATGGTGCTTTACCATTAAATTTTCAGTTCACAAATGATGGCAATTATTTTCATAATGACTATCATGAAACTTCTGTTTCATTGTACAGCTGTTGCCATGAACTGCTCTCTCATTGTAGTTTTTAGAGTAAGGTCATTTGCATAATTAAAAGCAGGACTTCTGAATTGTGGGCTGAATTCTTTGGATCTCCTGTAAATATCTTCATCTTTGAAAATTCACATATTGATGTTTTAGGCTAAGTAGATCTTCATTATATTTAAATAATTTAAATAATTTTTAAATATCATGAAGCAAACTAATATAGTGTTAAGTAGAAATGCTTATTGCATGCTTGATATTGGTGATGGTGGGTTTCTGTGAAGTTATCCTTGGTCACAAACCACAATTAAAAGATTATTTTGTACTACCATGTCATTATTCATAGGAATTGCATAATATTAATTTTGCAATGTTGTAGATGGCATTCTGGGCTTGAACAATACATAATTTTGGCCTTGGTCGTCATTCACACCTGGGACAATTGTGCTAATTTTTTATTAGCTACTCATAAAGCAAAGAGCAGAGTATTTTGTTCACAGCTTTTCTGCCTAGGGATTGGAGATCCATTTTTTTCTCTCACTGCACCAATGGATCTGCAAAATGCTCTTGTAGCCTTTTTCCAAGTTCTCTTTAACTAAAAACTGATGAAGCAAAGGGAAATTGTGTTTGTGTTGGTGCCAGTTAATCATGCTAGCCTAGCAGCATTTATATTCACACCACTGTAAGAAACATGTAGTTAATTGGAGATTGTGTGTATGGGAGAGGGAGAGGGAGAGGAAGAAAGAGCAGTATGTATAATTTTTTATTATTATTCTGGCTAGCTAAATGCTGCACAACCAAATAGATTTGAGTGGAACTGAGAGATGTATAAATAATAATCGGGAGCAGGATCTATGAATGGGAGCAGGATCTATGTAATCCTCATAGGTGCAGGGCCAGTACGAAGAATAATAGGGTTCACATATTGTGCTAAGACATAATGTGACATGTAAGGTTTTGGCTTAATATATGGAACAAACCATTATGCTTATTCATCAAACCATGGGACTGGGGTATTGCAGTGTGTGAAGTCAACTCGTGACTTGCTGAAAAATACTTATGGGTTTATGACAGATGCAAAGTTTCAATTAGGTCTTCTAATTCATGGGTGTCAAACTCGCCATATCACGTAACGTGTTGCAACGTATGATGACTTTTTTCGCATTGCCGGAGCTGGGGGGGCATGGTCTCCGCATGATGCAACCAGCCCACGGGCCGGCAGTTTGATACCACTGTTCTAATTCATACTTCAGCAACTTACTAAGCTTGTTTTCATATATGCAAGGGAGGATATTGAGTGTTTCACATAGATGGAAATAACCACAATAGCCTTGAATTATTCATATGAGTCTTTTTAAATGGTCAGGGAAGAAAAAGTTGAAACTCTTCTGTATTAGAGTAGGGGTTTGGGATTGCTGCTACCATTTTTGTTTCAAAATTCTGCATTTAATAGAACCAAATGTATTCATGCAGTGTTTGATTTGATGAAGCACATTTTATATATAAATTAGAATTGTGTACATTATAGAGTGTTGTTTCTTTATCTAGGGACCTCCTACAGATGCACCTGCAGTTGACACAGCTGAGCAAGTTTACATTTCTTCACTTGCACTTCTAAAGGTAAATTATTGTGTGTGTTTTTAAGTATTGTGCAAATCACTGAATGTATTATAAGCGGGATGCTTCTGCTGTGTCTTATATCAAAAGTTACATTTTCTGAGGTATTTAAAAATCAGGTAAGAGAAATGGGAAATCAGAAGCCCTTCAGATATTGTAGAACTACAACTTCAGCAGTGCTACCAATGGCAAAGGATGCTGAGAGTGATGTGGTCAAGCAACCTTTCTGATACAATCATTTATCATATTCTTACTTCCATTCAGTTTTTCCTCCTGTGCCCAATAAAAATTGCTCAACACTTAGCATTTAATGAATATGTTCAGTTCTCATTGAACTCTTTATGGGTTCTTTGTCCTCCATTTTTCTCTCCACTATATATTTTAAGTGGTTGATGATATACTGGTAAGTAGCTTTAATTTTACTACTATGGGCAGCTATCTGTTCCATGACTATAGATAGTTTACACATAACCTCTAAATGTGATGTATTCAAATGAGGTCATGGTTTTTAAAAAAACCTCTTTAGAAATCATATTAAAAAAATCAGATTGAATGTAATTATTTACATTTAGATTACTATATCAGTCTTTATATATTGAAAGATTTAATTGCAACAAAGCATTAAGGTATTAATATAGTAATACATCAAAACCTTGGGAGAATGACAATGTTTTTGCTTGATGCTCGAAGGAAAATGCAATCTGAAATGAAAATGAAGTGTTCATCAAGAACTGAGGATGCATTCCAGTGTTGGGGCTCCTAGAGCAAGAAGAGCAGGAGAATGAGATTTAAAGGAGAACATCAAAAGAATCACAAATAAATTGAGAATCCATTTTAATTGTATAAACCTGGCATGATATGACCAATATACCTATTTTTGTGATTATATATGATACAAAGTAAAATTTTAGTGCTATCTTTATAAACCCCACTATATGGCATATATTACATGACCCTAAATGAGAAGTTAGCAGGACATGAATTATGCTAGTTAATCTGTTGTTCTCAAACCTGGGCAATAACTGGCACACTGATCAAAGAGGAGAAAAGCTATTTTATAGTTAAAAATGACACTTATGCTATAAAAGCAGAGGGATTTTTTTCCCCCACCAGTATCTCACTGTTCTGTGTCGTGCTCTTCGGAGGTCTCCAGGTTTTTTTTTCCAGTTGAGATATTTTGAGCATAGATTTTGTAGATTGTTTTATACAAACAGAACTAATAGGCATTGGAAGGAATCATATATTTTATAAAATACTCTTTTATCTTTTTAAAGGCATCGTCTTCTAAGATACAATCAATTCTTGTGCCATCCCATTGTCTTATGCTATCAGAAACTTTATTTCTCCAATAATAGCTTACTATGAATCATTGTGTAAGACAAGTGATAGTATAGTATTTTCAGAGAAAGCTGCTTTTGGCCTTATAGCTCTAAAGATATGAATATATAATAGAAAAGGAATTTAAAAACCACCAGAGAATCAAGCATCTGTTCCTTAAATATTATTCAGTAAAATTCTGATCTTTCCAGATGTTGAAGCATGGTCGAGCTGGTGTTCCCATGGAAGTTATGGGACTCATGCTTGGAGAATTTGTTGATGACTACACTGTCAGAGTGATTGATGTGTTTGCTATGCCACAGTCAGGAACGGTGAGTTCTTTCAGTTAGCACATGTGCTATAACACTGTTATAATTGTACCTCAAAAATGTTCCTCCCCAACATGCTTAATTTTTTTGAAGGAAATATTCATACATGGCAGTACATATATCCAAGCTTATAATAATGTGATGCTCTATGTTCTATATAACTTTTCCAGTCATAAATAGCTATGTTGTTTTGTAACTAGCTGTTGTCAATTACATGAAGCATTAAGGTGTATGGTAAACAATTGGTTCAATCTGTCAGGCGCAAACAACCAGACCCATACTTGAAGATTTCAATTATTTTTTTCATTGCTCAAGCCTATACACAGGATCTTCTCAGACTGACGGTTTGCACCTGGTTGAGACTAGATAAGGTTGAATGGCATTCAGGGGAAGTTGTGCTTAACGTAGGGATTCTAGACTAAGTCTGCTTTTGACTCCTCCCCAAGTTTATTCTTTTCTTCTAAATTTTTTTAAATATTACATTTATAAACTTGGGATATTAATTAAAAAGCTGGATTTTGATGTGAAAGCTACTGGCTAAGTTTGTCGTAAACAGTAATGATTTACTTTTTGAATTGCTCTCAAAGCATGATTACAGTAGACTGGATACATGGTAAGGGATGAAGTTAGCAATCTTGGACAAAGCAGTCACAGCTCACTTCATAGAATCTTCTAGGCTTAAACTGCTGTGCACTCCTGAAAGAGAGCAGTGAATGCAAATGAATTAAATATGTTTGTTAAAAGAAATATTTTTGTGATTTCTGATATTTCTCTTTGTTAGTAGATTATATTATTACTGTCCTGAATCGATCATGAAAGTTTATTACTTGTACCTAAAATTGCCTTTGTTAATCTGCTTCCAAATGCAGGGAGTAAGTGTGGAGGCAGTTGATCCTGTGTTTCAAGCCAAAATGTTGGATATGTTAAAACAAACTGGAAGGTTAGGATTTTCTTTATTGACTATAAAAGTACGTTATAATAACAGTCAAGTCCTCTTGATTTTCTGTCCTATCATTTACTAGTGTTTAAACATAACCTTGTTCCTTCTGAGTGATTTACATGATAGATTGCTTACATTTAATAATTAATTTAATATATTGTCAAAAGCCGGCTAAGTATTTTCAGATTCCCATCACTGTTTTTCTTCAGTGGAACAATTACAATATTCAATAAGAGGTTACATTTCTGTATTAACACTATATATGGGGCAATTAACCACCCTTTTTCCAACTTTTCAACCACTGTTCTGTATAACCAACAAAGAGTATTTGGGAGGAAAAACATTCAAATATTAAAAAAAAAATCAGGACTTCATTTGGAATGTCTCAACAGTTGCCATCTTTGTGCTGAAATTTGTATACCGATATAAAAGCTTATAAGAGTTAATGTTAACAAAAGACTTGACCACCAAACAGAACAGTGCAAATTGCTTTTTGAGCAAATCTCTACTTCTGGTTTAATTGATATTTAATCTTTTGATATTGTTTGATCCTATCATCCATGCTTGAAACAGATATTCTGGGGTGAAAAGCCAACTTGGCTCTAGTGTGTTCAGAGGTGATATTTTCCAAAATGTGGATGGGAGGTGTGGCACTAGGATGAAAAACTGAGAGCCTGATCTATACTTTTTACTACACCTCCCTTAATGCTAGCACTTCTTTACCACATTTTCATGTTTTTATTGTAATGTGGTAAGCATAAATATAAATGTTTCTACTGGCACTTTCTTTTACCTTTGTATTTTCTTACACTTCTATAAATTACATTGTTGCCTTTCATAAGTCCTGCTGCAAATAATTGAATTTCCCAATGCCTCCTTTATTCCAGACCTGAGATGGTTGTTGGCTGGTATCACAGTCATCCTGGTTTTGGCTGTTGGTTGTCGGGTGTGGATATCAATACTCAACAGAGTTTTGAGGCCCTTTCAGAAAGAGCTGTGGCAGTAGTAGTGGATCCCATTCAGAGTGTAAAAGGAAAGGTATGTGCTAGTTTATATTAAAGGGGGAAAATGCCTCTTTTAATGCTTTTTTAATCACATCTTGAGGTTTATAGAAAATGTTCACTTCCTTTAATTATTTTCTGTACTTTTGTTCTTGAAGAACTCTTTGGTCTTTATGGGTAAGTTAAAAAGAAGCTAAAAAAACTTCGCAACATAATAGGCATTTCTATTAAGTCCAATACAATTTTTTTTTCTTAGGGTCAAGACTATAAATACAATTTAGGTTGGTAAAATCTTCAGTCTTTTCAAAATGAAATAGCAGGTCAAGTTAGATAAAATCTTTCTCTAGAGATACATAATGTTTTTTTTTCTTGAAATGGAATAGGATACTTTTTGTATGTTCTCCAAAATAAAAATTTCCCTAACAACTTTGCAACCATTCACATTTGCAGATGAATGATTATGCAGAATCCTTATGAAAAGAGATTAACTTGCAAAGCATATTGGGTTATAGTTTGTCCTTTGTTGAAATCTCTTTTGTTCTTGTTTGATTCTTTTTTTATTTCTTTCTAGCCCCATATGCCATTTTCCTATTTCCTGCCTCATGACAGCAGGGAGCAGCTCTATTATCACCTTCACAGAGCTGTCTGCAAATGTGAGAGGCAATTCGATTTTGCTCAGCCACAGGGAGAGTGGATTAGAAAAACTACAGAACATACAGAAATTGGCTAGGTGGTTACTGGTTTAAAATACTGCTGAGGTGTTTTGTTTCAGCATGCTTTCCTATTGTATTACAGAATAGTCATTCAATTAATATGTATGACATTTGTGCAATGTTATAAATATTTTAAGTATTTAAGTTTTTGTGTTAATGGATCTGTGATCGTAAGCTGGTTAACCAACTATAAATGTTGCCACTTTCTTGATAGGATGAAATGATCACTTGTATGAGTATAATAATAGCAACATATGGCCAAGTTAAT